CTGGCCTCCCACATCAGATAACTTAGGAAGCACTAATACTACATTACAGCTATTTGTGTTAAGTGCTCTTGAGTATGTAGTTTACACTTACACTCATTGTTTTAAATGTGTTTCCAAAAGTATCACAGTTCTACCAGAATTTTATTTGTAGAAAATTCTGTATCATCATTATTGTATTAATAACAGTTTCTCCTGTTTTGACACAGGACAATGAAAAGCGGACCCCGTTACATGCTGCTGCGTATCTGGGAGATGCAGAAATTATTGAGCTACTTATTTTATCTGGTATGCTTTTTTCAATTGTAGAATTTTGTATATAGAAAATATATGTAAAAACACCATTTTCTGCATCTTCCACACATCTGATTGTCTGATAAACACTTTTTAACATTGTGTGTGTGTGTGTGTGTAAAAATTAAATTTCTTGCCATTAATTTTGTTTGGATTGTAAATACAAGCTACAGTACCAAAGCTGTTGACTTGCTGGCTATTTAAAAATTCTGTGATGGAAAATATTGTACATACCAGGTGTTTAATTAAAAAAAAAAAAAAAGCTCTAGCAGGGAACAGAAAAAATGGTATTCGGGGAAATTATTCAAGGATGTCAGTGTTAATTTTACAGAGCAAATAACAGATGAACTATTGTGTTTGTGTGTGCTTTTTTTCTGGTGGTTCATTGCCTCAAGACTAGACTACTGTGATGCACTCTACATGGGACTGTTCTTGAAAAATGTCAGGAAGCTGCAGATAATGCAAAATGTAACCTATTGGGTGTGCATGTTAGAGATTATATAATACTAGTCTTACAAAAACTAACCTGGCTTGCGATTTGCTGCTGAGCAAAATTCAAGGTGATGGTTTTGACCTACAAAGCCCTAAACGGTTTGGGGCCAGGATATCTGAAAGACTGCCTCCCTACATATTAGCCTGCCTAAATCTTGGGGCTTTCCCTGTGCCAACACCCCAACTATGGAACCCCTCCTGTAGGAAGTCAGTCTGGCTCCATCCCTTTTTAGTTTTTGGCAGAGAGTGAATATGCTGCTGTTTGCATGGCATATAATCTGTTTTAACAGTCCAGTTTTAAATTATTTTAAAGGTGTGTTTATAGTTAGTTTTTAAGTCTATTTTCAGAAGTTTCTATTCATTACTTTTAATTTTGCCTTTATCCATCATGCATTACCTCACTAGTCCTTGTGGGCTGAGAGGTGATACAAAAATGCTTTAAATAAGTTAGTAAGTAATTGGTTGCTAATATGTTTTAAGAAAACTAGTTTCCATGTTAATTTATGAAATTTGGCATTATATGAACACCATCTGTGCTTGCTGTGATGTTTTCTAATATTATTTCATACATGAGAGATTGCTAAACTGCAGTTTGGTTCGAGGAGGCTGAGGTGACAATGGGGCAATATGTCAGGGAAATTGACTTACTTATCTTTGAGTTTATCCATTAGAAGCACTTTATAAGAGGAGCTATGCTCTATAGTAAAACACATACATAAGCTTTCTAGTTCCTAGTTAAGCATTTCTACTTAAAAGATTCCAGGAACAGATGATGACCAAAACATCTTATAATTTTTTTTAATTAATTATGAAGTATTTATACCCCACTCTTCAGCCAAAAAGCTATCAGAGCAGCTTACAAATGGATTAATTAGACGGTTCCCTGCCTTCAGGCTTACAATCTAAAAAGACAAGACACAAAAGGAGAAGGGAATGGTGGTGGGGAAGGAGAATAAGTCCAGCAGGTCTTCTCTCCCTCTAAAGCCTGGACCAAGGCAGATGGAATGGAGGGAGGACTCTTCTTCTTGTTCAGACTAGGCCTGATGGAGCTGGCCTACCTTCTCTCCCTCGATGATGATGGATGGAGGAAGGGCCTTTCTTCTTGTTCAGGCTAGGCCCGATGGAGATGGCCTGTCTTCTCTTCCTCAATGATGGTGGATGGAGAGAGGGCCCTTCTTCTTGTTCAGACTAGGCCTGATAAAGCTTGGATAAGGCAGTAATTTGGAAAAAGGAGCAGGTATCTTCTTAGGACAGATGTTAATATTGCAACAGCTTTACTCCTCATTTTCTCCTTAAGCTAATGTGTTCCCTAACAGATGTGACTATTTCTACCCTGTGGCTTAAGATACATGCCACCTTAATGGTAATGCATACATCAGTTTTACTCTGATGCAGAAAGTACCTTAGCTTATTTTTATTTTTTTCAGAATAATCTTTGTTAGGGTAGAATTATAGAATTAAATAGTTTCAAAGGACCTCAAGATTCATGTAGACCTAACTCCTGCCAGTGCAGGAAATCCACAGCTAAAGCTTCCCTGATAGATGTCTTTGCTTTAAAATCTCCAGTGAAGTAATCATCACTTTCTTAAGGAGTTCATTTCCTGTCTAATAGCTTTTACCATTGGGAACCTCTTCTTGATATTTGATTGAACTCCCCATTCTCGTACTTTGAATCAATTTCTGGAGCAGCATAACTTCAGCGATAGTTTGCTGTTTCTTTTATGTAACACAACCTCTTCAAATCCCTGAAGAGTATCTCTACTCAAATATCACCTGGTACTTAGTCTGTACCTGGATAGGTACAGACTGGTCGTAGCTCAACCAGGGGAGAAAGGATACAAACTGGACTTGTCTGTAAAAAGAATCAGATAGGAGCCAGATAGCGAAAAGATTAAATAGAGTTAGGGCAGTCAGAGACAGGGTGAAGATTTGAATAGTAGTTTGGGAGCTGTAAATAAATAAATAAATAAATAAATAAATAGAGAGTTCAATGATTGATTGTTTTTTTATATATATACGTAATCTTTATTTGTTTTATTTTATACAGTCGGCCTTTGGTATCTGTGAGGGATCCGTTCCGGACACCACCACTCCTGTGGATACCAAAATCCATGGATGCTCAAGTCCCATTGTCCCTCATGGTTGTGCTGCCATTAGGGACAACTGGACTGAAGTCCTCCCTCCCTCCTTCTCCGAGGCTTCTGCCCTGGGCTTGGCTTCGTGGGCAGTTTGGAGGCAGAAGTCGGACGGAGCCGGGCCAGGGTCTTGTGTCTTGGAATCCCACTTCCCATGCCCAACTCCTGGGATGGAACTTCCAGGCTCTAAGACCCAAGACCCGGGGCCAGCTCTGGATCCCTCCAGCCCACAGGGCTCCAGCCTCTGCCTCCAAACTGGCCCCCAAAGCCATGCCTGGGGCAGAAGCCTTGGAAGAGGAGGGAGGGGGGAGAAATGAAGGACGGAAGGAGGAGGGAGGGAGGACTTCAGTCCAGTTGTCCCTAATGGCAATGCAGCTGCATGCATGCACCACCATTGAGGACAACGTGGGCATACCGTCCACAGATGCTCAAATCTGAGGACGGCAAGTCCTCAGATACCAAGATCTCACTGTATAACTCTATTTGACTGTTCTATTTGAGAATTTATAAGGAGACTGGCCACCACATTGAACCCATTAAACAGCACAGCCACTTGTCCATATTAGGGATCACCTTGAGGCCCAGTTGTCACATCCAGGGAGGGATCCTGAGTATAAAAGACAAAATGAGTGACAGGAGCTCAAGTGTTAGAACTGAGAGGCCCGCCTGGGTAGGAGTTCCATCACAGTTGCCTTGAATCTTGTTTCTTTTGTCTCTATTACATTCTTACCTTATCCATTTTGGTATAATTGCAAATCTGATGAGCATTCCCTCCACTTATCCATCTGCGTAATTTATCAGACTTTTGAATACTGCTCTTAGAACATTACTTTGCAGCAGCTTGATTATCACTTCTCTCCAGGATTACTTTTTGAGTAAATCTGTCAACTAGCTATAAATCCACCTAACAGTAGCATTACCAGTAGCTTATCACTAAATGTATTTTGAGAGTCTTTGTAAAATCCTTGCTGAAATGAAACTATAATATATCTACAGCATTCTCCTGATCTACTAAGCACATAATTCTAACAACAGTAATCACAGTATTCTTTTTGAAGGTTCACAGACCAAATGCTTAATAAATAGTGCTAGGGAATCATGGGAATTGTTGTTTTCTGAGACATTGAGCCTTCTCTGTCAGAAAGCTCTAGTGCCACAATAAAATACAATTCCCATGATTCCCTAACCCTAACCCTAACCCTTAAAGTGGACTCAATTTGCACTATTTCTGGCAGTCTGCAACCCCCCTAAATTAAGTTCTGATTCTCCTAGAGGGAAAAATAACCATTGTAACTGCAATTTACAGAAAACTATCACACTGTCATTAATCTGTAACAATCTGCAGAAGTATTTTAATATTTTAATTAAGATATAGTGCTCAGTTGGGGGTATACTTTTAAAATAAAATGTGTATCATGTTGTTGTTTGGAATTTCTGTTTATATCTGCAGGAGCTAGAGTTAATGCCAAAGACAGCAAATGGTTGACTCCTTTACACAGAGCTGTTGCATCATGTAGTGAGGTATGGAGAACTCTTTTTACTACTTCAATAAAGCTTATTGAATCTTGAAGTGTAATCTTATTCTAATTACATGGATAGCATTGTATCATTATCACACTACCTAGACAAGAATAAAATTGCAAATCAATCCCTTACATTCATACAATTGTAAAATACGTTGCCATTGTGATCTTACGATGCTAGTAAAATCTGCACTTGGTATTATGTGGCAAGCTATCACACTTACAGCAGCACAAAGAGAAAAGTGTTTGGAGTTGGAGAAACTGGTAGTGAAGGCATTATCAGGTTAGTCCAAACACAGACCAAACTCCCCTTTCATTGCATAGGTAAAGCTACAAGAGCAAAATGCCGCTGTAAATAGATAACCTCTTCAGGTGCAAAAAAAAAGTTCTTTATATCTATTGTTGTTGTGTGCCTTCAAGTCATTTCCGACTTATGGCAACCCTAAGGCAAGCCTACCTTGGGGTTTTCTTGGTAAGAGTTGTTCAGAGGATGTTTGCCATTGCCTTTTCCTGAGGCTGAGAGAGTGTGACTTGCCCAAGGTCACCCAGTGGGTTTCTGTGGCCGAGTTGGGAGTCAAACCCTGGTTTCCAGAATCATAGTCCAAAACCCAAACCACTATGCCACACCTCCTTTATATCTGTCTTTTCTCAAAGCTTAAAACCTGCTCTGGCTCAGCTACCACTTCTTCCCCCCAGGACATCTACCACTAACTCTCCTTTGGGAGTTCAGAGATAAGGTTCTTTATTAGTTCACCTAAAAAAAGGAAGCACTTCACCCAAGCAACCAATTTCCAGTGGCTAGAGACAACGATGAAAAACAGAGAGAAGAAGAATGCATCTCTTCTCAAAAGCATTACAATTATCCTGCCCAAGAACTCCCAAGCTAAATACCCACTAGGAACCCTAACTGCAGTCCTGCAAGTGAGTCTTCAAGATCAGGGTGTACACTTGGATTGGCTTGGTTGGTGTAAACTGAGAAAGAGAGTTTTGCAGAAGCCATGGTATTTCTCTGTACACATGAGGTTGGCTCAGCAGTTGTTGTAGGGAAAAGGAGATAGGGAAGGAAGAGGAATTCAGTGCACCAACTGAAAGGATCTGGATGCAATACATGTAGCAGTTAAACTGTGCTTCTGTGGGTAAAGGTGAAGTTGTATCCGGATAGGATATACCACCCAGAATTATAAATTATCAAGAGCTCCCCATCCCCACCTTCATTTTTCAATTAAACAGTGGTAATGCTAGTGATAATATGTCAGTCAATGAGTAACACAGTAAGTTACTTTCTGGATTATATTAACACTAACAAATGATAATCTAATTGGTGATCAGAGTAATGAGTAACAATTTGTTTCTTTAAAAGAAACATTCCAAGCTCTGTTTGGGACATCTTGCCTATAGTTTTATTCTTGGATACAGCTCTTTCAGTTCTTCTAGAACTGAAGCTACATCATGTTAAGTCCCTGTCCTCGGTTTTGTTCCTGCCTCTTCTACTAGAACTTGCAAAGATAGAATTCACCTTGTGAGTGGCTTATTTACAAGGAGTTCCTCTCCCAGTTAGCTGTTCCTTTCTTCACACAAATACCAATACACTTACATTCTGGGCAAATATTATCAGCATTGGTTGATAACAGTCAATTACTGTGTGTAGTAACAATGGATGTGGGTGCACCTATGTGCATGCATACTTGAATGTGGATCATTTGAACACTGAGCTCACATGTGCAAATTAAAGCATATTTTTCTATGTTTATTCTTATATTTTAAGTTTTCTGACATTTTTTAGCTAAAGGGTCCTCAGCAAATTTTAATAAAAGCATATTACAACATCATAGAAACATCAGAAAACAATGTATAAAACAAATTCAAAAACACAACAAATAGCAAATGTATTAACATAAAACAATTTGCAATCTGGTGGAATAATATTGTCCTTATAGATCTATAAGTTGCAAAACTGTTATTGAAAAGGCACATTTCTACCTGCATGGCCATCTGTTGGGGATGTTTTGATTTTGAGTTCCTGCATGGTAGGGGGGTTGGACTGGATTGCTCTTGTGGTCTCTATGGTTCTACCTAAAGCCAACACATGAACATTCAGAAATAATACTCCAAGGGTCCCAGCCCGTAAGAGATTATCAGAAGAGATTATTTGCCTTTAATGGCATTGCCATAATTGCCCTAAACTGTTAATGTTGGCATGGAGGTGGCAAAAAATTAAGGGAGAAGTTAGTGTGAAAACCAATTACCTGCCTCTGTAAAGGATTGAAGAAGCCTTTTATAAGCATGTGAATATGTGTTTAGTATCATATATGAATTTTGACTCTGATTTTGTCTTGTCACTAGAAAGAGTGTCAGGTGCTTGAAGGTGAAGATAGAATGGGAAAAGATAAAATAGAGAGCTACCAAGAGATAAAACTGAGAGATTACTTTATTAATATCTCTATTTATTCAGATTATGTGTTTATTATTCTTCAGGATGCCGTACAGGTGCTGTTGAAGCATTCAGCAGATGTCAATGCCCGTGATAAAAACTGGCAAACACCCCTACACATAGCAGCTGCAAATAAAGCAGTCAAATGTGCAGAAGCCTTGGTTCCACTCCTCAGTAACGTAAATGTGTCTGACCGTGCTGGTAGAACAGCATTACATCATGCAGCCTTCAGTGGACATGTTGAGGTACAAATGACTTATTTTCAATTCCTCACACCAGCTGTTCCACCACAAACAGGTGTTTGTTCCACTGATACTTGCAAAGGAAATAGCAGCTTACATACTTTAACTTTGATTATGCTTTAACATTATGATTATTCTCTTGTATTTTAAGAAATGCAACTTCTTTGTTCTAGATGGTCAGTTTATTATTGTCTAGAGGTGCCAATATTAATGCCTTTGACAAGAAAGACAGAAGGGCTATCCACTGGGCGGCATATATGGGTATGTTAATGAAATTTCTCTTTATGGTGACTCTCTCTTAAACCCTTCTTACTGCACACATTTGTGTATCTACTCTAATGGTAGACTTCTGCATGCTGTTTGGTGTTTTGTTTTTTTTCTGAATCAGGTGTTATACATGTGACTGTACACAACTGGATACAAACATCCAGTAAAATCCCTACTTGGTTCGAATAGAGATTCCCCTTCCAGCTTTGTAAACCATCTACATCCCAGGCCACTGCCTCTGGCCAGCTAGGCAAGCACCTGTTTTACATGGTTATTGCAAAGGAGCTTTAGTTAATCATTTGTCTTTTAACCAGTTGGGATTATTTAATTATTCTGGATTTTTAAAGAAAATTTCCTTTATCAGAGCCTCAGTAAAGTATTGTGATTCCTAGAATTCTGAAATGTGAATTCTTATAGTTTTTAATGAATAAGAACTACTATTAAAGGCACCAGATCCTGATTTAGGAAGCTAAGCAGAGTCAGCCCTGGCTAGTAGTTGGATGGGAGACCACCAGTGAATATCAGGTGCTGTAGGCTATATTTCAGAGGAAGGAACTGGCAAAACCACCTTTGAGTATTCCTTGCCTAAGAAAATCCTATGGAATTCATGGGATCACCATTAGTCAACCTGAAGGCGCACACACACACACACCCCTCAGGGACAGATGAAAAAAAACTTACTTAATGTTTTCTTTTTTATTACCTATTCTGACAATTTACCAGAACAATAATAACTGTCATTTAAAAATGTGACTTAAATGTGATTAAAAGAGATTGATCAGTATCAGTTAAAGTTTGCAGAATATCAAGTAATAGTATTTTTTTTTTATTTATTCAGGTCATATTGACGTAGTAAAACTACTTGTAGCCCATGGAGCAGAAGTGACCTGTAAAGACAAGAAATCATATACACCACTACATGCTGCAGCTTCTAGTGGAATGATTAGTGTAGTCAAATATCTTCTGGATCTTGGAGTTGATGTGAGTAAGAGATGACTTTAAAAAGATTGGCTACTATTACTACTACTGTCAACATATTGTTATGACGTAAGGCTGCAAACATAATTGAAAAAGTGTTAGCATCATGAATAAAACACCATAGATATAACTTTGCTGACTGAGCTTTTGCTTTCTTATATCAGCTCTACACGCTGATAGTTTTACACCTTTCAGGGATTCTATTCTAGAATTCAGGAAGAAAACTTGATTTCAGACTTACTGATTTTTGTATAGGGGAAAAACCCTGTAATTATAGCTGCATTAGTTAGAACTAAATTCCTTAAAAATAATTGAACAGGTGAAACTCCATTGCACTGAGTTGTACCATTGGTCTGTCTAGCCCACTATGATCTGTTCTGATAGGTATGATCCTTTTAACTGGATATAAACCTGTAACCTTCTTCAGACAAATACATATGGCCCATCTACTCAGCAGTTTAACTGGCTATTTAGATTTGCTGCATAAATGGCATTTTTGTTGAGCAAATATTAACACTGATAACATTTTAATTAAAAATTCTGATGGATACAGACCAACATAAGTAGAATGACATAATAAAATTTCCATGACAACTCATTGTATTTTCCCCAACAGATGAATGAACCAAATGCATATGGAAATACACCTCTTCATGTTGCTTGTTTCAATGGACAAGATGTTGTAGTAAATGAACTGATAGACTGTGGTGCTAATGTAAATCAAATGAATGAGAAGGGATTTACACCTTTACACTTTGCTGCTGCCTCAACTCATGGAGCACTGTGTTTAGAACTTCTGGTTTGTAATGGCGCTGATGTGAATATGAAGGTAAAATGAACTGAAAGGTGAATTTTAAGTGCTGTAACAACATTTACAATTGCCTTTTTTGCCATGAATAGACACTCAGCCCTAAAACGTAACATAAAATCAAATAGTTGCAAAGTTTAACACATTGCATTTTAGCGACCTCGGAAGGATAACAATTACATTTCTATACCGCTTGTCAGTGCACTTAAGTACTCCCTAAGTGGTTTACAATATGTAAGCTAATTGCCCCAACAAGCTGGACACTCATTTTAGCAACCTCAGAAGGATAGCAGGCTGAGTCAACCCTGAGCCCCTGGCTGGTATTGAACTCACAACCTTGCGACTGTGAGTGAGTGGCTGCAGTACAGGCATTTAGCCACTGCGCCACCAGGTGTCCTTATTGTGACAGTTAGTAGAAGAGTAAGGTTTCTGCCAACTCACTGGTTTCCAGACTTTTTTTTTTTATTATTATTCCATTGTTTAGTGCACAGGCTGTATTGAGGCACACTTGATCAGTGGCTTCAGGCTGTGTATGGTATTTCCAAAGGAGCATGTAAATAAAGTCAGGTATGTGGGTGGTCTGTGAGCGATTTAAACTAGCTCTTATTCAAAAAGATTTTAATTGCCATTCATTTAAAAGGTTTATGAACTACTTTGTTAGATGACAGAAAAGAAATACTAAAACAAAGGCAGTACACATGGCTTCCAGCTGACCATGTAAGTGAACGTGGTGTAAAATAACATGTTCCACAATTCTGAACAATTATTTTTTTTCCCTTTGGAAAATGCATGGGTCGGGCTTTTAAAACAGAAAGTTTCTAAAGAATGGGCTAGGGCAGGTGTACGCAACCTAAGGCCCGGGGGCCGGATGCGGCCCCCCAGAGGCCTTTGGACCGGCCCCAGGC